TTTCAAACCCCAGCTGAAATAAACAAAAATAACTTTATGTGTTGCAGAGCCACGTGCATAGAGATGGTGACCTCTCTGGCCCACACCCCCCACGGGAGGCAGTACCTGGCTCAGCAAGGAGTCATCGACAAAATCTCCAACATCATCCTGGGGGCAGAGTCTGATCCTTTCTCCAGCTTCTACCTGCCAGGTGACACCATGAATTCCTCCTTTCTGCTTGCTTTGGGAATGAGCTCAACTGACAGCACTGTCAGGCCTCTGTGTTGAAAACTCAGGGGAAATTTTGAATATTAGAGCGGAGATGTAAAATATGGAAATGTAAAATATTGGGTATTTAAAAAATGCTGAAGGACAGTCTGACACATGAAAAATGTTCCTCAGTAAGATCTGGACAGGCTGTGCTGTTGCTTTAAAGTTTGTGTCGTTGTAGTGTTTTTTAGGAATACAAACATCATGAGTTAAGCAACAGTCAAAATATTTGGCTCGTTGCTTAGTTCTGTCTTTATTTTGAGCTTTTTACCAATATTATTCAGACTTAATAACACATGTTTGGGAACAAATCAGTCTCACATTAATGTACATTTAATTCTGTCATTGCTGAAGTTGCTGTTCTTCCCCTCAGTGCTTTTTTTGGTCTTGTTTTCTCAGGATTTGTTAAATTTTTTGGCAATCTGGCTGTTGTGGACAGTCCCCAGCAGATCTGTGAGCGCTACCCTGTCTTTATGGAAAAAGTTTTTGAAATGGCAGAAAGTCAGGATCCAACCATGATTGGAGTGGCTGTGGACACACTGGGAATTCTGGGATCAAACGTGGAAGGCAAACAGGTTTTACAGAAAACTAGTTAGTATCTTTTTTTTTCTTTAATAAAACTTTATAATATAAAGAGTGAATTAGTTTGGGGTGATACAGAAAGAAATTGAAAAATGTATTCACTTATCTAATGAATGCATTTTTAATGTAGCTGATGGGTAACTGTATTCCTGTAGAGATCTGACTGAATTAATTCAAAGCACTTTGTTTTTGTTTTGAAAGGAAGTAGATTTCAAAATCTCTTAAGCAAAATAGGGCACCAGGCCAAGAATGCCCCCACCGAGTTACGGCTTCGGTGCTTGGATGCAATTTCATCTCTGCTTTACTTGCCTGTAAGTCGGGGTTTTTGTCTTTGTTTTTCCTTTAAATCTCCAAGAATGAAATCATCACACTCTTGAGTAATTGTGAGGAGATATTTTGCAGCCTCCAGGTTGGGTAGCAGTGGTGCTTTCAGTGTTCTGAGTCATTGATTTGCTGTTGTGAAATTCCCTGAATGGTTTGCTTAAAGGTTTGTTTGTAAGGAGCCAGGTGTTCTGAAATGTTAATAAAAGATTAAATCAAGATTTCATCGATAGGGAATGAGAGTAAACAGATTCGTATCCTTGTGCTCAGAGGGATGGGGCCAAACTGCTCCAGTCCCTTTGGCTTTGGCTCCAGGGATCTGGGTTAACAGTGTAGCTCTAAGTGAGTGATTAAACCATTTGAACACACCTGAGAACCTGAAAGCTTTTCATAATCCTAATCAAATCCTTTTATTCTTGTGATTTATGTAGCCAGAGCAGCAGACAGAAGACCTCTTAAGAATGACTGAATCCTGGTTCACATCCTTGTCCAGCCAGCCCCTGGAGCTGTTCAGGAGCATCAGCACTCAGCCATTCCCTGATCTCCACTGTGGGGCCTTACGGGTCTTTACTGTGAGTGCTTTTGGTTTTAAACGTCAGGGAGTGATTTGTGCTGCCATTTAGTCTCAGATTTATTTATTTCTTTGAAGTGAATACCACAAACTTCTTGTTGAAACCCAGAAGTGGTCAGAAAAAGCCCTTTTTCAAGTCCCACTCGGCTTCCCCATTTAAGTAATGCAGCAGACACATCGTGTCTGTAATGCTAATTTTCTAATAAATTGGAGAGGGGGGGAAAAAAAGGCAAGAGCTGTGCTCTAAGGTGCTGCTTCTCTACCAGAGGCACTGCTGTGATAATTCCCTCAAAACTTTGAACATAAGCACTGAGCTCTTGTTCTCCAGTGTTAAACCCTGCTGCTTGATTTGAGTGGTGGTTTTGTATCTCGTGTAATATTTCCTGTTTCTTGTCCATGTACCAAAATCCCTACTGTGTAACTGCATTTCTGGGGTTTTAAAACGTTTTTCCCCACCCCCTCACATCTTTTGTCTTCCTGTTCAGGCCATTGCAAACCAACCATGGGCCCAGAAGCTGATGCTGAACAGCCCAGGGTTTGTGGAGTACGTTGTGGACAGATCTGTGGAGCCTGACAAAGCTTCAAAGGATGCTAAATACGAACTGGTGAAGGCCCTGGTGAACTCCAAAAGCATTGCAGAGATCTTTGGCAATCAGTACTACCTGAGGCTCAGGGCTTACCTGCACGAGGGCCCCTATTATGTTAAGGCAGTTTCTACCACAGCTGTGGAAGGAGCAGAATAATTCCTTGGTGTCTGTTCCCCTCTTGCAGAGCACAGTCCTGGCACAGGTGTTGAGGTACAAGGTGTAAAAACTCTCCACACTGGAGGTTGTCTCTTTAAAGGAATGTGAAGATATTTTGACTCTATTTGAAATGAGTCAGGAGAGCAAATTAAAGGCTGTTTGGTATTTCCCCCTAAAATGTCATGGCAGAAGTTCCCTTTGTGCTTCATGGGCCAGGTAACCCAGGTGAGCACTTAGCAGCTGCTGACTGTGGTTTGTTTGGCAGAATTTATCAGTGTTTGTTTAAATTGTTCTTGGGTTTGGAGTTTCTGTTGTGTTTTCTCAGTAGATTACAGTTCAGTTAAAAAAACCCAAAAAACCAAACACCTCAAGGTTTGTAACCTCAGATGCTGCCATAATTTCTATTCTTTTTTAATTCATTTTTTTTTACCTGCCAAAGTTGGCACTTGCATGGAGCACCCTTTGTTCTGTCAGAATCCTGTTGCTGAATAAGCCAGTGACACTGTCCACATGAGGGAGTATGGACTGGATTCTCTTGTTTTCAACCTGCTGGATGTGAGTCTTGCTGGAATAAATAATCCTAAATATTGTTTACATTTTCTGCTGAGGATTTAAAAAAAAAAAAAAAGTTTCTAGCCCTTTTAAAAACAAATCAGTGCACTCTGTAGGGATCAAACCCACCTGGGAGCTTTTTCTCCCATGTTGACTGTGCTGAGGGGTGGCAGCTCAGTTTAGTGGCTGGAGCACTACAAGGCTACTTCAGAACCAAATCTTGAATTGTTTACACTATTTTTTAACAGAGATACAATTTTTAAGAGTGTTATTTAAAGAAATGTAATATTTTAGTTACCTGAGTTAGACTAAAAGGGGTAAGAACACGGAGCTCTTGTGTTGAAGGGAGTGATTGAGCTGGGAATATGGAAATGTGGCATCTTAGGAGTTGGAATGTTCTTTTGAAGGTGTCAGAGCTGTGGGAGAGAATCAGGAGTGGCTGGGCACTCCACAGACATGTGATGTGTCCTTGTCCAAAACAGAGCCCACAGGGTCTAGGCTTGTATTCTTTTTGTTGAGGAGGAGCAGAATAAACCATGAAATTCCTATTTTGGGGCTTATTTTAGTAATGTTTCAGCCAGGTGTAACTATGAGAAGTGCTGGCCCCATGTCCCTGTGCTGCCAGCATGATCCTGTCCTGCAGGAACTCTGCTTTTTTTGGGGTAGGTGGAGGTGCAGCTGGCATTGCCTGCCAAAAATTGCTGCCCAGGAGTCCAGCTGGGCTCAGAGGAGATCCCTTCATGTTTGCTAAGCTGTCTAAATGCAGGTGAGGTGCCTTGTGATGTCCCCAAGTTGTCACCCCACATCCCAACGCTGCTGCTTTTATCCTGAATGTGCCCAATAAACGTGTGCCAGTGAGAAATGCAGTGTCTCCTGACTGGAGACAGCACAGGAGCTTCATGAATCCTGCATCCAGCAAAACACATTAAAGCACTAAAAAAGGAAATCAAAAGAGTGTAGAAGTTCTTAGCTTGCACTTATTCTGGGCAGTTCAGCTCTGTTGTTTTAGGTGGCTTTGTGTGCTGGTGGCTCTGTATGAGCCATATGCTGAAATGTCAGTAAAAGAAATAAATGTCAGTAAAAGAAATCAATATATAAACCTGTGCTGCAATTCATGAGCCTCTTCCATGTGTGTTTTCAGCTGGTGCTTTTGAAGGCTACTCTGTGTGCTGAGTGTTTAGCATCTGCTTTGCATGGTACACTTGCCAAAGACAATATTTTAGAATGTGCAGAGATGCCAAACAAGGGGATTTTTTTTATGAATACACATATGCTTTATTTTGTTGAGCTTTGAGCTCAACGTTGATTGATTAATTGATCACTTTCCCCTTATTACTCAGAGGCAGTTCCCTGCCCATGCTGTACATTGCCATATGGATTACATACTGCTGCTGTATCTGATATAAATTACAAAATTGAAGTGTGTTGTTTTTGTCATCCCCCCTTAAAGTACCAGGTGGAGATAACTGAGGAAAAACACGGAATGCTGGAGAATTGAGGTAACATGCTGAACATTTGGTTTAAAAGCAAAAAAAAAAAAAAACAAACCCCAAAGCAAACCTTGTCATTTGATGGATGTTAACAAACAGCATTGCTTGAGGAATTTCCACCATGGCTCAGTGTCTGTTCCTGCTGGGGCTGCTCTGTTTCTCTGTGAACCAGCCTGCTCAGAAGCAGCTCCTTTTGTGGATGGAAAGCTTCCCCCTTGTTACAGAATTCTTTGGAAGTAGGTGATGCCTCACATAAAAAAGGAGTTTTGAAGACTCAAAAGTCTGGAATTAGACAAAGTCTGTTGGAATCATCTTTTTTACTTCCATGCATGCACTTGTAGCTATTTAGGGAGGCAGAGTATATCCAGTTCTGCTCTGTCACACTAACAGTGAGAATTCATTTGCTGCTGTAGGGAAAAGAGCAAACTTTGGGAGGGCATCCTTTGTAATGAACGCTAACAGGATAACACAGCTGATGAAAGCAACTCCAGCCTCTTTGCAGGAGTTAAACATTAATTGACAAAATGAAGGAGCTCATTTTTTATCCTATCCAGGCTGAACTGTTTGAACTTATCAATGTAGGTGAGAACCTTGCAGGACACCAGGCTGTAGTAGGTTTCCAGTAAGGAACAATCTTCCCTATCGCTCGTTTCCTTCCAGCCTTTCAATAACTCGTCCTCTGTCATGTCAGAAGAGGTGAAAATGAATTTATAGCAGCATGGATTGTAGCTGATGTGCTTCTCCCCAGCGAAGCGGGAGCTGTGCCTGGCAGTGATGCCAGCTCTTTTAGCACAGATCCCTACAAAGGCAGCGGGGGGCACTGCCAGTGGCACCTCCCTGGCAGCCACATAAACCTTGCGAGCCACGTCCTGGGACATGAGGAAAGCGCTGCCGTGGCAGAAATCCGGGTAGAACTCCTCGGGGTACAGATGGATGGGGACAAAGCCAGGGCTCTGCGGGTCCCTGTCAGGCGCTCTGTGGTGAACCACCCTCCCAAGGTAGATGTCCTCCAGCTGGGTTAAACTCAGCAGGTACCCAGCCAGGCTGGGAACACCCACAAACACATCCTGGGCCGTGTGGAGGATGTACCTGGCACGGGGACACAAAGTCACCGTCCACTCCACGCTCATCAGCATCTTCTGTGTCTGCGTCTGGGGAGAATCCGTGAAGCTGCCTTCAATAATGTCTCGGTGCCTTTGAGCCTCTTCATTGAGCTGCAGCTCGGTGCTTGCTGCAGCTGCTTTTCCTACAGCAAACACCGTGAGGACGCTGTAACCTCTGGAGCCTGTCGTGTTCCCCCAGGTCTGCCTGATCACATCACGCCTTGTCCTGTTCTCGGGGCTGCTGCAGACGACGATGAGCAGAAATAGCTCTTGATCGGAGCAAGTGGCTGTGCTGCTGCTGGTGTAAGACAGGTTGGCCTTCAGAGGATCCAAATCCAACTTCCTGGCCCTCTCCCTGATCTCCAGAGCCTTGGCATCGGTGTAAGAGAGAGGCAGGGAATGCAGGAAGTATTGCTCCAGTAAATCTGCCCCGAAAAGCAGCAGGTGGAAAAGCAGGACGTTGGAGAGGATGAAGCACCACTGGTGTGTGCGGAGCCTGCAGAGTGTCAGCTGGGGAGCAGCAACATGGACACTGAGTTCTCTTGCCTCTCAAACCCAAAGGCTTTCCCTCATTTTACAATATATCCATGCAAAGCAATCACAGCTTTTAGACCGTGCTCTTTGTATTATTAGTGTGAGGCTTTTTTTTTTCTGCTAGAAACAAGGAATCTACCTGTAGCATGGTGAGATCCCAAACTGAGAAGGATTTTACCGTGTTGGAAGCTTCTTTCTGTGCCTCCACCTGTGGAAATGCTGAAGAATGACTTGCTATGGATAATTTCTGACTATTTTTAACCTGTTATTGAAGGCCTGAGGTGCCCCTTAATATGTCCTTGAAGGAGAGCTTTTGGTTCTTGGCCTGACACTGCCCTATGAAAGCTGTCAGGGTTAGAATCCAAAGGGAAAGGCCGGGTTGGAGCAACATGGAAAAGTGGAAGGTGTCCATGGCAGGGGGTGGAATGAGATGATCTTTAAGGTCCCTTCCAACCCCAATGGTGTGAAAGAGGCTGCAGCACTTACCTGCATGGTGCTGGGAGCTGTCCCTGCAGCAGGAGCTCTCTGGGCAGTGTCTCCTGACAGAGACTCGATCTGGGTCTGCAGGATCCAGTTACTGCCCAGTACCTGCAGCCTGTGGCTCCCACCTCACCTGCCTGGGTGGAGGAAAGATGATCCCTGGGGCTGATCGTGTTGCAGCCACATAAAACACCAAGCAAACCAACCCCTGGCCTTTCCCTTCATTAATTTCTGTCACTGAGAAATAAGTGAAGCGAATTCTGGGGCTTGCTTGGTCCGAGGAATCCCTGGTACTGTTGAGCCTGTCCTTGATCTGCCAGTTTGCTTCTGGCCCTGGGGGTTGTATTTTAACAGCAGTGCCATTGTGGTGTTGGTTCCCCAGTCTGGGGACGTTGCTGAGCACTCTGCATCTCCTGAGCTGGAGCTTTGGGGTGTGAACCTGTGGGTTTGCCTTGTGTGGGGTGGTGGAGGACAGCCCTTGGCCGTGGGTGCTGCTGGGCCAGGCTGGCTCCAGCTCTTGGGGCTCTACCCCTGGACAGGCTCTGCCTTGGGCTGCTCGGGCTTGTTGCTGTTGGCTCAGGAGCTGACAGGGCTGGGGAGCCACAGGGGCCTGGAAATGCTGCAGGGGGAGGTGCCAAAGACACCACAAACAGGATGGAGCTGTCAGCAGGGGGACAGTTGGCTTTGGCAGTGGGGAGCACTGGGGGGAGAGGGGCTTGTGGGTCCCAGCAGCGCCCTGGGAGGGCAGGGAAGGGCTGGGTGATAGCAAAGCTGCTGCTTGAGGGGTAGAGGTGGGAGGTGTCTGCCTGGTGGCAACTCCAGCCTGCATGGGAGAGCAGGGAGATCATGATTTCTTTTGAATTTTGAGATTTCTCAGAGGCCAGGGTGCATTTTTGTTCTGCATCCATGGGTGAGAGGAGAACACAGCACTGCTCTGGTTTGTCTTGGCTGGACCATTGCAAGGCTCCCTGCAGCATCCTCAGGGCAGCCTGGATTAGCCCAATGTCCCAGGGACATGGGGAAGAGCTTTGATTTCTGTCTTGAGGGGTCCAGGGTTAATCCTCAGCTCTCCCAGCTGTGTTGATAGAGGGAACAGAGGAATTACAGAACAAACTTCCACAGCTTGGAAGTGCATCTCACCCCGCTGGAAAACCCCAAAGCGCTCACAGTGTGCAAGTCCCAGTGTGGATTTCTGCTTCAGCCTCTCCAAAAAAAAGGGAAAACTCCTTCCCCAGGGCTCGTGTGTCAGCTGGGCCACAGCTTTATCTGGCCCAGCCTCACCCTCTGCAATCCTCACAGAAATTGTGCTTTGAAGCTGGGTGAGCTGTCAGCACGGGAAGTGTCAGTTAAATGCGTGCCCTGAAATAAAAGGCTAATAAGGAAATATTTTTCATGTACAATAATACAGCCATGCAACTCCAGATACCCATTCTGGGGGAAAAAAAAATTCCTCCTTTGAAGATATTCTGTCTCCAGCTGAATCATTTAATCAGCAAATAAATACCAGCATTTGAAGCCTCATACATTAAAAATTGAATATCTTTAGAATAATAAATAATAATAATAATAAGCCCCACATGTGTATCATCCCTGGTGCAATTAGGCCCAGCGTGGTGCTGGCAGCAGCAACTTTGATACCAAATATATAAAATTAACACTCCCCAACCCCAGCCAGGGCACAGGCAGCTCTTGGATGTGGGTTTTTATTTATCCACAGAGCCTGGTGGAGTCCTGCTGGGAGAAAGCTGAGGAACAGCAAGGAAAAAAAATGCTGAAGAGGAAAATATCTGAGTCCCTCAGCTCCAGGAAGTTTGCCTGGGGATGATCCCTCCATCACCTTTAACCCCAGGTTTCAGGCAAAGACGACACCCAGCAGCTCATGTGTGACTTTATCTCACTTTTCAGAAGGGTAAAGTGAAGCTCCTTTGGGAGAATCTTCACTCCCAGGGAGATCCAAGAGTTTTCTGGAGAGGAGTGAATTCAGGACCCTGGAATGGCTGAAGTCAGGTCAGTGGGGGTAGGAACTCTGTGCACAGAGACCCTGCACAATCCTGGGGATGTAAATTGGGCTGTCAACCAAGAGAGCAGATTTTCCTGAGCCACAGGGCTACAATTTGCTTTCTGTGAGACGTTTTCACATTTTCATTAAATTTTATGTCCAAGCAAACCTCACTACAGGAGCGGGGATGTAACGCTGTGAGCAATGTGAGCTGTCCTAAAGCTGTGAATGTTCAGACTGAAGGATGTTTGGGTTCGATTTTTTGGAGAGCACATATTTTGTGATATCCAAAGGTCAAAGCAGAGCTGCCAGGAGGGTGGTGGGAGATGCTGTTGAGCAGGAGGAGCCTGGGGCAGGCAGTGGGTGCTGCAGGGGAGCAGCAGCTCCTTAAAACATCTCCTAAAGTCTCCTGGCTTCCCTCCCAGTGCTGGGAACATTTGGAAGGGGGAGCAGAGCCTGGCTTCCCTCGGTTCTGCCTGACTTCACGTTGTGAAAATGCGAAGGCTTTGGATGACGCAGTGTTCTCAGGAGAGGGAGGATGGAGGGGATTGATGGGGAAAATCCAGGCAAAATCAGGTTTCCCGAAGGGAATTTGTTCAAATGTGAAAGCTTGAGCTCGGCCTGCCTTAGATATCTCTCTCAGCAGGTTGGACACCCCTCTCTGTGCCCACCGTGGTGCCCCTGTTCTCTTGGCTTTTCCCAAAATCCAGGTTGATTCCCACAGGTGAGTTTGCAACTTTTCACTTGCTGCCTCCTGCTCCAGAGCCAGCTCAGAACCCTCTGTGGAACCCCCCTGGCACAACATCCCTTTCCACGAGGCATTCCCTGTGCTCCCACGGATTCACTGTCACCCCAGCCAGGATGCTCTGGGAACACAAAACCCTCCCAGGTTTCCAAAGTGTTTTGGATGCTGCACAATCCCTTTTCTTCCAACCTGCCTTTTGCAGTTTCACCAGCACACACGGACCTGAGGGCACGAGGGGCTGCAAAGGGACCTGTCTGGTTTTTAATAACAGCATCAGTTGCAACAAATAGAGATGATTGTTTAGGTCTTAGTCACCTAATAGCAATGTTTGTGCTTGAAGACATGATTCAGCTCTTGCAGGATGTTCTTCACCTCACGTTCTCCACGGGGTTTGGGAAATGATGGAAGAAGAGGCTTTGTAAGAGTTCTACAGCGTGTGTTTCACTTGTTATTTGATATTTAATGTCCCTTTGGGTATTAAATAAAAGTAGAAAACTGAAAACCAAGCCAACAGACCTGAGCACTGACACAGCAGACAAACATCTCTGTGGCTCCCAATGTGCACATGAACGTGTCTTTGCTTCTGATTTAATGGCTCAGTCGATGAGACTAAATCCATGTTTTTATAGCAAAGTTTCCTGCGTTCTTCTTTTTGCTTTGCATGCATCAGTCTAGGAGTTAGAGAGCTCTCTCCTCTTTTATGCTATGTTTGATTATTCCTTCTTGAGATTAATGACAGCTTTGACAATTCTCTACCTCTGCATTCCTGGATAACGACAGCCTCAACCCTCTGTGTGTTCTGCAAGTGCTGCATTCAGCCTGGGGAACGCTGAGTTTAACATGAGCAGAGTTAGGAAAAGGAAAGAGCATAAACTGTGTGAAATGCTGAGCTGTGAGGCCTCAGGGCCGAGCGGGTTCCCCCAGTGGTCTCCCTGCCAAGATGTCAAGAACTTTTGACAGGAAAGTTGCTTATTTTGCAGTGGACCAGAAGTTTCCTCGTTGTTATTAATTCTCAGACTGTGCCATGCGAGTTGCTTTTTTTGCTGCTTTTTTTTTTTTGGTGCTTTTTGCCTTGTCCTTTAATTCCCTGCAGGCTGTATTTGTGCCTGGCAAATGGAGATTCACATGAAATTCATTTGACACGCACAACATCGGCAGCGTCGGAGTCTCGGCTCAGGCTCTGCTTTGATTAAATTCAGTCCAAGCTCTGACAACATTTCCAGCTGGGAGCAGATCCTGTGTCGCTGTTTCTGACTCCGTGGCTGCTCTGCCCTACACTGGGCATTTCTCCCGGTGAGAAATGGGAGAAATTTCAGCTGGAACATTTCTCCTGGGCACCTCCTTGCCTTGGGGTGATGGGGTCGTTGTGTGATGCACCCAAAAAGGGCAAAGCTTGCCCAAGGTTGTGGGGGGAAACAGGAGCTGTAAGTGATGCCCCAGCCCATCCTCTCCAGGTGCTGCATGGATCCAGCTGTGCTCCAGCTCAGAGCTGGGGAGAGGCTGCAGCCCCGCTGCTGGGGCTGTCCCCATCACCCTCCTGGCCGGGTTTATTGGGGAGCTGGAGCAGGACAGGAACCCCTCAGACACAAATGCCTGGAGCCCTGTGGATCGCTGGGCTCGGGTGATGTGCTCTGCAGAAGATGACTTTCCCTCACTCTCGCCTCTGACTCATCCCACTGTTGCCTCCCACAGATTTATTTATTGTTCTCCCAGACGCAGAAACAGCAGAGCTGAGTCTCCCTGCCCTGTGCCAGGCCCTTCCTCGGGCAGCTGTGCTGGCATCTGTCAGGGCAGCTGGGCCTTGCCCACACCCATCCCTGGGGGTTCTCCCACCGGGGCTTTGCCTTCCCTGGGAGCCCCCAGTGCTGCTCCCCGAGCCTGGCTCTGCTCTGATCTGCTCACACACAGCACCCGGCCCTGGAAATGGCACTCGGGATGTGCCCGTTCCCGGCTGTGCTGCTCATTCCCTGCCCCCCGGGATGTGTCCTGTCCTGCTCTGGGCAGGAATTGTTGGGGTGCTGAAGGGGCTCCCCAGCAGAGATGTTGGTCCTCTAGTGGGAGGTACATGAAATCCTTATTAATTGTATTTTGTGTCAATGTCTGCTGGGAAATGAGGACTTGTAGCATCGATAGCATTTTGGGGAGTGCTGCAGCTGGAGGCAGGAAGGACCAGCTCAGCCCCATGCCCCCAAAATTCGGAACGATTCCTTTTCTGAGAGCACTGCCCTGCCCTTCCCCTGCCTTTCCCCCTTGGCTTTGGGGGATCAG